GAAGGGGGGGTAGGGCGGGGTTCCCTACCCCCATGTTAAAACCCCTTTTTTTTATTCTTGTTATTTTCTTTTCTTTTTCTTTTATTTTCTAAAAAACAAAAAGAAAGAACTGACTTAACCATGGAGTCCCAAGTCCATGACCAAGCTCCTCCCGGTCCCCTTTCTGCTACCACCCTGTTCCAAACCTGTCTCCTTATTTGACCATTCTTTGGACTTTTCTAATGACACTACCTTCTGCTACTGCCATTTTGTCACCAGCTCCAGATGCTGAGGTTCCACCTGACTCCTTCAATACATCCAACCTCCGCACTTCTTTGACCATGCTTCCGGCTTCTCCCTCTATGGTGCGACGATTCTCAGATCGCCCACCCATCTCAAGTCTGACCAACTCTGGTCCCACACATAAATGACCAAGACCATTAACTGATGACACTTCTATTGCTTCTCACTCTGCCCAGAAAAAACATGCCAGAAAAGCATGCTTCCCTTACACACTATGTTTCAAAGTGCGCAATGGACTAAGTTTTTCACTCTACAACTGACATCTACTATCTTTCAGATCATAGTATTGGCAAGGTGCTCCTATGCACGTTGGTCAAAATATTTCATTTCATTCTCTCAAGAATGGTGCATGCATTGTCATGGTACACAATGCTAGCCAAGCCCATGATCTTTCTCTCCTTGCCACAGTAGATGCTATCCCTGTAACAATTCAAAAACACCATTCTCTCAATTATTGTGGTACCATCATTCTACCTCATGCTACAGAGGACCCTCGACCAACGATATTAATCCGTTCCAGAGAGCTCATTGTTAGACGAAATTATTGTTAGATGAATTAATTTTTCCCCATAAGAAATAATGGAAATCAAATTAATCCGTTCAAGACACCCAAAAGTATGATTTTTTTTTTTACCACACAAAATATACATTTTCCTACACACAAACAGAAAGATAGATGCACAATACATGTATATATATGTATATTGTGTAATAGAGAATAAATGACACTTTACCTTTATTTTTAATTAAATCGTCATGCAACTGCCTTGCCTTTTCACATATGATCTCTTGGGAGATGCTATCTCCTGATATCTGTTTTTCGTTTATCCACCCCAATAACAGTCTCTCAACATCTTCGAGTACTTGCGATCTGTGTTTCGTAAAGATACTTGCACCTTTCACAACAACAGCTTCCTTGATTGCCTTTTTGTTGGCCAGGATAGTAGCGATGGTTGACTGGGGTTTGTTGTACAACCTGGCCAGTTCAGAGGCATGCACTCCGCTTTCAAACTTATTAATTATCTCTTTCTTCATTTCAGTAGTAATTTTCACCCTTTTTACCACAGGGTTGGCACTAGAAGCTTTCTTTGGGCCCATGGTGGCTTATTTTGCGGTTACAAGCACTAAAAACACTGGAATAATACAAAATGTACTGAATGTGTGCTTGAATGCGACCGCACTGGCTTGTAAACACTGCACACTAACTGAAGGCAGGGCAGCTTAGGCACGCTCAGGCCAGATGGGACATGTGGATGCGTTCGGGATGAATCATGTTGGTCGGGCCAAAATTTTTATGCTCAAACGCTTTGTTAGTCGAATTTATCGTTAGACGATGCCTTCGTTGGTCAGGGGTCCACTGTATTGTTCAGCATAACTTCCAGACATGTGGTGATGACATTCTCGAACAACTTGAGCTCCAAAACCTCCCAATTCTCAAAGTAGACATATATACTACCTGCCTGCAGGTGGAGACGCTACCCCTGCTTAACTTTTGACTGTTGTGAGCATCTGCCCTCCGCTTATATTGCTGGACACTGTCTCCAAGTCTAAGAGTTGATCCCTACACCAGAACAGTGCATAAATTGCTGGCACTTTGGCCACCCAGCAAAATATTGCAGGTCCATGACAGAGTGCCCAGTCTGTGGTGCTGATGACCATACAACTACGTACATTCTGCAATCTGAATCTCTCTTACCTTAATTGTAATGAGGCTCATCTGGCTTTTTCTCACTGTTGCCAAGTTTATGTAAAAGAACAAGAAATTTGTTGTCTAAAAGAGAAAGAAGGATTCACATATGCCATGGCAATCTCTCATCTTTGCCTCCAGGGGAGACTTCCACGACTTTCTTATTCTAGAGTTACAAAGAGACCTCCAACCTTGGTAGTACCTACTTCCACTGTCTCTAGTGTCACAAATTTCTCAGTCACCTTTATCTCTAACTTTTGCAGTCCTCGCCTCCGAGGTCCCTACCTTGATGCCTAATACTGTTCTTGAATCTTCATCTTCTCACTCGCATGTTTCTATGTCTACAAGACCTCAAACAACTACACCTCCTCCTTGTCTCTACTTCTTTGAAGTCTAAACCATCCCTAAAATTCAAACCTCCTTTTACCCCTTTACATAGCCTTTCCAAACATTTTTCCTTTTCAGTCTCTGTACCTAGCTATTTACCTCTTGCTAGTTCTGTTTCGAGTGTAGAGGCTTATTCTCCCCCTCGTACAGTCCCCTTCTCTCCAATCCCCTCCCAAGTTCCTTCCTCTCCTGTCCCCTTCCAATTTCTACCTCTCCTGTCCCCTCCCAAGTTTCTTCCCAAGTTAACTCTACCCTCTCATCTACCCTCTGATCTTTACTCACCCTCCCCCTTCTACCTCTGATGTACTAATGCAACTTCCTTGTCCTCTGAAACACTTGAAGCTATCTCTGAATATATTGAGGAGACAA